TTCTTTTTCTGTTGTTTGTGTCTAATGGTGATTTAAATCTACAGCGCGAGTCATTGATGAGGCACCAGGGGCAAGAACAATTAGCAAAAGAGCAAAGCCGTATTGCATCACTGATGTCTGAAAAGCAGGAGTTGGAAGAAAAACTAAACTCCATGTCTAGAGAGGCTGCAGGTGCTGTTCATAAAAACTTTTGGACATAATATATTAAATTTCTAATAGCTTATTGAATCAAAGCATGCTAGCAGTCAGTTATGTAAGTCGTGTCTCTCTTTGGATGCACTATGCCATCCTTCGATCTCAAATGACACGGCCATAAAATTCAAATTCTTCTTTGGTGGAAGCATTCTGCTTTTTAAACTAATAAATGATTATTACTACCATCATGTTCTCTTTAAGGAATGGTCCCTGGTGTTTTCTCTCTGACTTCAAGTTATATAGTTTCACGTCTACCAACTTCCCATTATTTACCAATTTGTCCCTGGTGTTTTCTACTTAATTGCATTTGACTTGATATTCTTTCTTGATGTATTGGTGGACTATAAGATTGAATTGACCCTGAGTTTTGCTCACGCAGAAGTCTCAGATAAAGCAACTCACAAGGCATTCACTTTGGTAAGGAAAACTTCTTTGATTTAGTGATTTTTCAATATTTAACATCTGTTAGCTGATCAATCATGCCAAGGAATTTGCATTACTGGTTAATTTAAATCACGGATTAGGTATTAACATCTCAACCCCTTTGAGTCCTCACTCTTGATTGTGATGATTTTTCTAATTCTACTCTCCTTTTCAATGTGCCACATGGCTTATTCTACATCAGACATCTCACCTTTTACTGTTTTATTATTTTGTCTTGCTCTTAAATGTTAAATAGGATTCCACCAAGATTTAACCTGAAACCCTTACCTTTTCATTTTAGTTTTGAATGTACTCACGAAACACATCCAAGAGCTAGCACCAAGATGTATGTTTTATTTTTATGATATAGTCTTATTTGGAGAGTCGAGGGAGAAATTAAATGAGAGGTTGGAGATGGGTCTTAGAAGTGTATGACTTTCGCCTGAGCAGAAGTAAGACGGAGTATATGAAATATAAGTTTAGAAAAAGGCGAAGCGATTCTAGCTTAGAAGTGAAAGGTGGAGATCATATCATACCAGAATTTTTGCGGTTGAAATATCTTAGGTTAATAGTACAAAACTACAAAAAAACAAATAAATAGAAGAAGACGTAAAGCATCGAATTCCATCTGGGTGGTTGAGATAGAGCAAGGTCTCATGTGTTTTATGTGATACGAAAGTACCACTCAGAATTTTATGGGGCAACTGTAAGAACCAAACCAACACGGAAATAAACTAAGTGTAGCAGAGATGAAGACATTGTGTTGGGATGTGTGGTAAGATTAGACGTGATATGATTATGAACGGCAACATTAGAGAGAGTTGGGGGTAGCAAGGAGAGTTCATCGGATGGAGGTAGTCAAGCGGCTAGTGGTAGAAGAGGATTTTGAAAAACTATAAAAGAAACTATTAAGAAAAATCTCGAGATTAGAACACTATGACGTAGTTTGATCCATGTAGCCGACTCCACATAGTAGGATAAGGTTCAAATGTTGTTGTTGCCACTTAAGTATTACTTCTGAAAATGATCAATCGCGTAACTTTTTGGTTGCCAATCTCAACTTTTAATAACCATATCAATAAACATAAACTATAGTATGTCTTGATTCAATTTATTTATTTTCATAATTTTCTTTGTAATTTAAAATTTTTCATTTTTATAGTTTATACTAATATCCTTTATAATTTTAGATTTTACCTCATAAATATTTTTTATAATTATTTTAAAATTTTAAGAATACGAGACAATGGTCAAGATGCTTTTAAGTTATGGTATGTGTCTATACTATCTAGTTATAGATGACAACTTGTTTGAGACTTCAACCAAGTGGAAAATAACACCGAGGCGAGTGAAAATGAAGTTAGCTTGGAATACAGAATTTTAGTGATCGTACAGTTACGGGGGAGATCTCTTTCAATCTTCTTTAAAGATTTAGTAGTCACCAAACTTGTTTAGACTAGGTACACGAGCTGCCCATTCTTTTAAAACCGTCCCAATATTTTTTACATATCAAGCTACTCTGAATTATTTTTGTTCATAATTTCTAGCTCTTTAAGTATGCTACTTCAAGCATAACCTTCATTTTCTTGATATCTATCACGGGTGTTTTGACAGCGGGTGATGAATGACCTATTGTTGCCCCAACTTTATTTTCAGTCTAATATGTTTTTGTTTAATGGTCAACCTTTTGCCACATCTCAGGAAGACAAGCAGAAACTTGATAAGCAGTTGCATGATATGGCGTTAGCTGTAGAGAGGTTGGAGAACAGCAGGCAGAAACTTCTAATGGAGGTAAATTCTTAATATCTAAATTTTATGTTGTACTGTTCTGTGTGTATTCCATCTGATAGAGTGGTTGGTTTGCCATCTTGTTGGAAGATTGATCATCAATCTACAGAGATAGAGAGGCTTTTTGAGGAAAATTCTAATCTCTCAAATTCACATCAAGAGGCAATTGGAGCAGCAGCAAGATGGGAAAATCAGGTAACAGCTAATATCAGGAGTTCGACGAAATGTAATTTATGGTTACTGATTTAAAGTCTCATCGATACAACCATGGTTTAATATTTTATTTGACTTGTCTTCTAAATAGAGAAATCCTGGCCTACTTGTTTAATAGAAAAATATTGATTCCTATCATTTTTCTTTTCTGGATCAAGGCTCAAGAGTCGCTGCATCTCTTGACTAATGAAATTCAGTGAACAAATTTCGTCTAAGAATTTAGTGATGTGGTTGATTTATCTGAGAATTATAGTTCAAAGGTTCTTAAATAAATGAAATCTAGGTTTACTACTGTGTTGTCAGAGAAGAATATCTTTCACTAAAATTCAAAGGCTCTAAATAATGTGTTTGTCGGAGATGAATATCCTTGTATGTTTTGTAAAACTCACTTGACAAATTAATACGCTGGTCGATATGACACCCTCTTTTTGGTTTTATTAGTCTCTGTCATATACTCCTATATTATTATGGCTTGCTGGTGAAGCGATTTTATGTTAAGTCTTGTACTGAGAGGGGGTTTTCTCTTGCAGGTGATGGAGTGTCTTAAGCAAAATGAAGAGCTGCGTGGGATTCTAGAAAAATTGCGAGTGGAACAGGCTAATGGCTTACCAGACTCATTTAAGAACGGGGTACATGAGACTGGTTCATCAACATCTATTGGAGAGGTGGCCTCTCTGAAGGTTTATTATACTTACCCTACTCATAACATGTTTGTTCTTTGTTGTCAATTCATGTTGTCCCCTTGCCGGGTCTTCTTGGGGTCAAAATTTGACTAAAATTAACTGTCAAACTATAATTTTTGGAATTGTCTTGTGAGAAACTTCATTGAGGTCCCTCTGTTCTCAAAACTTTGACAGCTTTCATCTGTTTCTGTTCCTTATTCTACACCCATTTGATTGGTTGGCAGGGCCAACTTGTGAAGGAAATGAGCAGAGCAGAGACATTAACAGCAGAAGTCATGCAGCTCTCTGCACAACTTGAACAAGTCAAACAAGCATATGATGGTCTTGCACGCTTGTAAGACCCTCTCTATTTTGTCACTGTATTTGGCGCACATCATTTATTCATTCTGATCCTAAGTTTCTTGCATACGGTGCTCTTTTATTAATGCAATCTTACAATATTGCAGTTATAAGCCAGTCCTGCGCAATATTGAAAACGGTCTCATACAAATGAAACAAGACAACTCATTGTCTGTAAGATGAATGCGATGAGCAGTTTCTTGATGATACTCTAGTGACTGTGCAGCCTCTGATGACATGAATTTCCAATTCAATGGAATTTTTAGCACCCATTATTCACCAGTTTCATAAAAACAAAACTGGACTGTTCAGTAACTGGAGGTGATGGAATGGAAATGACAACTCTAGTAATACTTGGCATGAGAAACCATGTGTTACATACACATGAATTTGTAAAATGTATCATTCTTTAAACCATATTAATATGTAAAGAACAAACACTATCAAACGGGGGAGAGTATATTTTGATGATAGTTTTGTATAACCAAAGATAGATTGAAAGAGTTGTAATTAAACCCTATTTTCCTGGAAGATGTGTATCATCATTATAGAGGTGCATAACAAAGTTGTCTTTGGAAGTTTCATTTTGGAAGGATTTACCTTCTAGTTTAATATCTGAAAATGTTCTAACGAAAAGAAAAACAATAATAACGAAGCTCCTTATTTCCCCCACATCATCATGGTGTAAAAGAAACTATATAGTAAAGTGCAAGCTTCTGTTGTGTTAAATGTGCTGTCTAAATGCTTTACACTCTGTTAACTTGAATTATATGAAACAAACTTTCCTGAATATATAGGTATATTTTATATATATATATATATAAAGGGTGTTTCACACAATAGCCCAACACAATCAATCAGAAAGTGACTTCAATCAAGATATGGTCCGTGATTCCAATCTTCAACACAATCATTTATACTGGTTCACAATTTCACATGAATTAAGAAATCTGACCAGAATTTTTTACCAAGGAATAGAAGAACCCAAAAGCAATAGTTTTACATTTATTTTAAATAGTAGTTTTGTCCTTCACTCTGAGCACTTATCATTAACTTCACATTAAGAGTTTTCTTGGTAGTTAAATTAACAGTTTTTTTGGATAAATAATAAACTCTTAAGTAACAAATGCATAAAGGCCAAAGCAATCAATCCCAATTAGTCCGGTGATTAGTCCTTTATGAAAAGCAAAACCATTAAACAATTATTGGACCTTAAAAAGTACTATTAGTAATAAAACAATAATTGGAGGACTTTAGCAAAGCCATGGCTTAGTTATAAAAGAGTGAGAAGAGGTAAACTGGCAATGTGTCCTATTTTCTTTTCTTTTCCTCTAACTTATCAGTTGCTTTTCTCCAACCATGAAAATCAAAACCATATTTTTCTGTCTCAGAGGGAAAAACCACAAGAGTAAGAAAAATGAGGTGGAAGACTTTGAGAAACTCTCCAATGACAAGCCTAGTCATCACAAGGGAAGAAAAAATGAAGGGCATGTTTCAACAACTCATGCTGATGGTGGTGCCACTGCCGGCAGCAATGTTGATAGCAATGATGCAGGAGTAGTGGCTGCTGCTGTGGTGACAGCAGCTCATGTGTCTTTGATGAGTCAAGATGGAAGTGCTCATGGTGGTGAATCCTGTGGAGATGGTGGAGGCTAGGACTGACTAATACATATATGTGTAAAATTTTCCTAGCTATTATCATGACTTGGTTTACATTCAAATCTTTCTTGTTTTCCTCTTCTCATCTCTTATAACTTGTATGCTTTGCAAGCTTATAAATAAAACTTGATTTCTTCTTATGATTATAGACTTGTTTTTAAGTTGATATAAAAACTTATGTTTTTGCTTAATCAGTTTTTTTTTTATGAGAACAAGTTCTTGGGTCTAACAATAAATATGATCATTTGCCAAGCGAACTAAACTGCTATCTTCACCAAAAGTGTCATGAACACTTGTGGTTTTCTAGAAACTAGTGATTTCTGGGGGTTTTGATTAACATGAATAGTCCATGAGTTTGGTCCAAAGTATAAAGAAGTAGATCAAATGAAGAAGAGAGAAACTTAATCGAGTTCACCCAAAATCTAGGAATCACGCAGCTGAATAATGATATTTTTTTTTGGAGTATATTGGAGTTAACAGAATTCGGAGAGGGAAATGAACTTCATTTATTGAATGCTTACTGAATTTTGGAAGAGAAGTTTCATCTACATATATAGGTGACGAAGTGATAAAAAAAAAAAAGGTCTAAAAAAGTTACAAGCTTAAAACTTTGCATGAAGGAACATCAATGTCAAAAGCTCTTAAAAGTTGTTTCACCTATAAGAACTCAGAAGTAACTGGTTATAAAGCTCTATACGTTGCCTCAGCAGATGAGTCAATGGAATAAGGACTATTAGACCTTAAAACTAGTTAGGGCTTTATGAGTCACATTAGACTATCTAAAAACCGGTATATAGTAAGAGTAACATGAACGTTATTAAATGAACCAGGCACATGCAACTTAGAATCAAGAATGTCATGACCAATGGAATCAATGTTAGGTATATAATCATCGATGGGATGATCACAAATGAGATTTGGCAAGACTAGCTAACTAAAAGGATCAACATGATTATCAGTTTCAGTTTCAGACATTGAATAAAAAGGAAAAATGTCTTAATGGAAAACAATATCTCTAGATATATGAAATGTTTTAGAAAATAAATCATAAACTGAAACTTTTTTAACCAACAAGATAACCTAGAAAAACACAGGGAGATTCTTTAGGAATAAATTTGTACATAGATGTAACACTCCAATTTAATTAGAATTATTTTTAATTAAATAATAAAGTGATGTTGTGTATTTAAATAAATTGGTGGATTTTATGGTGTAGTGGGATGCCTTTGTTGAGATTATGAGGGTGTATGATTAAATGTGTAGAAATATAGGAGTGTGTAGTATAATATGAGTTACTAGTATTATTTTATTATAAAACTAGGATTATTATTATTATTTTATAATAATAATTAAATGATTAATTAAGTTAGAAAGGTTATAAATTATCTGGGATATATTAGAGTAAGAAGAAGAGAAATAGATTTAGAACCTAGAAACAAAAAAGAAGCGTAGAAGAGAGAAGAGGAGAAAGAGCATTAGGAGGCTAGGGCAAGAAGATTCACAGTAGGATTCAAGAATCATCACGAATTTAAGGTAAGTGGGGATTCTAACTCTATAATGAGTTGCCTAATGATGGGGTATGGTAGAATTTAGGTCTCATGATTGTGTACCCTTGATTTCTCCTTATTGGTTGTTTTAGATTTTTTTTCCCATTGATGGATTTTTTTATGCTTTTGGTGTATTTTTGGTGAAATTGGATGATATGAATTGGTTAGAAATGATAGACAAATATTGGCGAGTAATTAGCATACTTAAAAGATAAAATTTTATGGAAAAACTGGGAATTTTGGGTGTTGGAATGAGAGAAATCTTAACTGGAAAACTTGCAGTACTTTCTCTGCTATCGCAGGGTAACCAGTTACCCAAATATGGTAACCAGTTACCATATAAAAAGTTGGAAAACAGAGGCTGCTGACTTTGCAGTAACCGGTTACCATAAGTGGGTAACCGATTACCGCGACGAATTTTAGAAAAACAAAGTTACTGACTTGCTGTAAACGGTTACCATAACCGGGTAACCGGTTACCACTGTAACTGACAGGATTTTTAGAAAACTTTGAAAATCAATAACTTTTGACTCGAGTGTCCATTTGACGTGCCGTTCGAACCTACGGAAAGTTAAAAATATTTTCTACTCAATAAAAATGATTTGAAAATAGTATGAGATAATTTTATGGATTTTGTTTCGTTCCGATGTTACATTGTGAATGATTAAGATGATGTTGTACGAATATAATTATGTGACATGATATGTGCGATGATGATGATGATGACCTGTATTGGCGTAGCATTGATAAATAAAAGTAATCAATATAAAATTGTGTTGTTGCATATCAGTGTCGCATGCATTCATTAAGATGGCCTGTATTGGCGTTATGAAGTTGTTGCCCCAAGTTGGAATTATTAAGTTGAGGGTTTTGCCCTATTAAGATGACCTGTATTGGCGTTATGAAGTTGTTTCCCTAAGTTGGCATTTATTAAGTTGAGGTTTTTTTTTCCTATTGGTACCACATGTATTGCACCGATGTCAGTTTCACTACATTGTATGGTTATTAATAGTTGATTGTTTAGACGTGGACTGAGTTCCTAATTTTGTTATGACGGATGTTGTGTTGTTATGCCTTTGATATTATTGATGTGTTTCGTAGTATGATGAACAAGAAAATGTGTGAGGTAAAGATATATAATGATGTGTGCATGAATTTCTATCTGCTCATTATTATGCTTCCTCTTGTATTGTTATGATATCCCACCCTTTCTATTTGAATGTTGTCTCTATGTGGGTAACGCGCAGGTGACGAAGATTAGAGTAGATTGAGGCCTGAAGTTGTATCTCATGGTACGTAGATTGAGTCGAGTCTTGATCTGACACGTAACACCGAGGATGAACGTTGTTTTGCTTATTTAGTTGTGTTGGCTCCTAAAATTCGACACCCTTGTTTTTATTAATATCAGCCATTAAAGCTGAAGGATGGTTTCGACCAGCTGGTTCTGTCGAAGTGTTCGTCAGAGGATGGCAATGTACTTAGAGAATTTCTTCCAAGGGAGAATTTGGTTGCCTTCGACGTCGAAGGTGTTTCTCGTCGAAGGTGCTTCTCGACGAAGGTGTTCGATTGCTCAGAGTGGAACGGTTTGGGATTCAAACGTTTGGAGGGAAAACGGTTCCCAGCGGTTACCAAGTGCAACGTGCAAAGATCTGGAGCGTCGAATGCTGTGAACGTGCCAAGTGGAGTCATCTCGAAGCAGCGTAACTGCCCGACGGTTACTTGGGATGTGTTTAGTATAAATATTAGTAGTTCATGCAGTTTTTCGCGTGTGTTCACAATTATATACAAGTCACTCATATAAATTCGAGTACCCAGCGTGAGAGAAAGAATTGTTGAGAATGTATGTGTGAAACACCACTTTAATTAATCAAAGTCATTTATTTTCCAGAAACTTTACTTGCTTTCTTCTTTACTTTCCCAGTCGAAGCATTTCATTTCAAGCCTTTCTTTATTTTATCAAGTTCTCTTCTTCATGCAATTTACATAAAGCTTCTTTAATTTCTTGTCATTTAACCATTACCAAACTTAGTCAAAACCCCAAAATCAACTATGTCTTAGGATCAATCTGATCGATCCTGCGAGTCACCAAATAAGTAACCTTTTGGAAGATCAGCGGTTGTTTACCAATTCCCACGGTAAACAAATTGGCACACCTGATGGGACTTTGTGTTGATTTTGAAGTTTAACCTTTTTACACAGATTATCATCTTTTTCGAGAAGTATTGCATGTTATTGAGAAGTGGTAGAATATACACTAACAATACCAATACTGCCAGAAGAAGAGAAGCGATGGCGAATCCGCCAAACAATAACGAAATCCCACAAACGAATGTGGGAACAACGGTTATCCCAACCGTAAGTGAAGCGATAACCGCTGGTTTAACACCAGCAGTAACGGTCACAACGACGGGGCCATTACCTCCGTTCACAGGCCCCAGAGTTCCTTTAGGAACTCCCCCACCAAGGGGAAATCTAGGCACAAGGCTTTATGTTCCCCCAGGATTTATGACAGGCGGTCAAAATCGAGAACCACTCTATGGCATGCCAACGTCTGATTTGGCTAGCCTAACGAACGCTGCGTCCACTTTTTCAGACCCTTTAGTGAGTGCCTCTTCGCCACTCCAAGGTTCTGGAGTAGGTATGGCGAACAGAAATAGGACCCAACTCTTAGGAGGAACGTCCCAAGTAGCACATGGCCTCACAAATGCCTCGACAACAGTCTTGAGGCAACAAATGGACGAAAGCAACCATGATATGGTTCAAATGTTAGCACAAACTTTAAGTACAATGCTGAATCCTCTAATACAAAACACCACCCAACCGAATCAGCAGATGACAGCGCAAATGACGCGTTTGGCTGATTTCTTTGGAGTACCCCAACCTATTCGACAGCCCCAAAGGGCGCAAATAAGGGGAAACCAAGGTATACTCTTAGAGGAAGAAACCACTATCAACCAAGTCCAACAGCCTGTCGAAGAAAACCTTAGGGCACGATTGGAGCAGCCTGTCGAAGAACCTAGGGTTATAGCCCCAGAGGTAAGGTTAGTTAACAGAAACCAAAATGCTGACGAAGTGGTTCAGCATATCCAATACCAAAATATGGGTTTGGAAAATAATCTGGCAGCCATGATCGAAAGAATCATGACTCAAAATGGGATGAACATGGGCTTTCGTAGGCCCAACTTCACATCCCCACTGTCAGAATACGTGTTACAAACAGACTTACCTCCTAGATGTAAAGTCCCTAAGTTCACTAAATTCTCTGGGGACACGACAGAATCTACTGTGGAACATGTGGCGAGATACTTGATCGAAGCAGGAGATATTTCAAACAACGAAAACCTGAGGATTAAGTACTTCCCAAGTTCTTTAACAAAGAACGCTTTTACTTGGTTTACAACTCTCCCCCCCAATTCGATCCATCATTGGACCCAGTTGGAGAGATTGTTC